AAATTTTAAAAGGCAACAGTGAGAAAAGAACTCATCTTTGATGTAAAGAAATACAATTTCTACTTCTTTTGGTCAACTTCAGTCGCCTATCACTGGTTAATGGAACTTGATGCAATTACTTGGTGGCAGTTCCCTCTCTTCTAAGTTAGAAAACATCACTACCACACAGAAAAGGATGTAATAAAATAAAAAAATTCACTAATAGATTTCAGTTCTTCTGAAGAAACTGGGATGATCCTTAGAGTACGGAATCTGGAAAGCAAATTAAAAGTAAGATGACCATTTATTTTTTCCAAATAAAGCTGAACAACGCCAGTATGCCTATGAGGTTCCCTGAGATCATTATCAGCTATCAATATCTACCCCAAATGAATAGAATTCCATACTGAAGTAGGGTCTTATAGGCAAATTTTGATGGTCGAACCGATCAAACAAGATCTATTTATGGTTGTATGTTAACATAAGACGGCACCAGGCGCGGGTGGCTCACCACCTTCGTAATCCACAACACTTTGCGGAGCGCTGAGGTGAGCAGATCATGAGGTCAGGCGTTTGAGACCAGCCTGGCCAAATGGTGAAAACCTGCCTCTAACATTAAAAATATACTAAACAGAACCTGGGTGTGGTGGCACTCGCAGTAGTCCCAGTTACTTCGGAGGCCTGAGCACACAAGAATGGCTTGAACCGGGAGGCGGAGGTTGCAATGAGCCAAGATCATGCCACTGCACTCCAGCCTGGGCGACAGAGCAAGACTCCATCTCAAAAAAAAAAAAAAAAAAAAAAGTGAGAAAATAAATTAAACAGCTTAGCTTATTCAATGTCATATTGATTTGATATAACCTAAAAACACTTGATCTGAAATAACAACATTCTCTTGGTGTTTATCTTTAAAAAATATATTTGGAACTGGTTGCTCAGAAGATATATAACCACTGAACAACAAAGTTGGGTTAAACACATACATATACACAAGGGGGCTACTTCTCTGGTGTATAAAATAACCTCTAGCAAATTTGAAAGCTTAGAAGTCTTAAAGTAATACATGATGATAAACTTTTTTTTTTTTTTTTTTGAGATGGAGTCTCATTCTGTCGCCCAGGCTGGAGTCCAGTGGCACAATCATGGCTCACTTCAACCTCGGTCTCCCACCAGACTCAAGCAATCCTCCCACCTCTGCCACCGAGTAGCTGAGACTACAGGTGTGTGCCACCACACCTAATTTTTGTTATTTTTTTTGTAGAGACAGGGTTTCACCATGTTGCCCAGGCTGATCTTGAACTCCTGGGCTCAAGCAATCTGTCCGCCCTCGGCTCCCAAAGTGTTGGGATTACAGGCGTTTGAGCCACTACACCTGGCTAATATTAACCAATATTTATTGAATGATATATACAAATCATTATGCTTAGCACCAGAAATACAAAGAAGTATTGGACTTAACATTCCCGTCCTACAATTAAACTGCAAATGGTGGCCAAATAATTGGGCCACAATGTTGAACAAACTAATGAGTATTGCATACAATCAGTTTTAACAGACTAGTAGTAGGAATTAAACACAGTGAAAAAGGAAAAAAAAGGAAAGCCTGGGAACACATCTTAACATTTTATCTTATGACTTGTCTCATCTTTTATAGCAGCTTACTTTTTTTTAAACAGCGGGCATAACATCTGAGTGGAGGTTTATAGAAACTACAGGAGGAAGGGCTGATGTTCACCCCGTATTTCAGATGAGGAAAGTGAAGCTTTCAAAGAGGTTACGCAACTTTCCTAAAATTGCAGTTCAGAGAGCTACCTTGCCGACTTTGTCCAGAGCTCACTTCTATTGCATTAAATTCTAAATTATCAGTGCTAAAGTGAGAACTCGAAGGGACCTCAGAAATCTCCTAATGGAGTGTTTCCCTAACCAATCTGATAAACTTTCTGGGATATACATTAAAAACCCATTCCCAGGACCCACTGCATATCTACTAAATAAGTTAAATGAGAGAGGTTTTATATTTTAACAAGAGTCTCCAAGAAGTAATTCTAATGATTAGTTATGCTTAGAAAACACTGTACTATGTCTGTATGTCCAGTATGCCACACATTTGGCTACTTAAATTTACATTCATTAAAACAGCAAAATTAAAAATTGAGTTCTTCAATTTTTAGTTCCACCAGTTACATTTCAAGTGCTCAACAGCCACATGTGGCTAGTAGCTACCATAACTGGAGAGCAAAGACTTAGGAAATATCCATCCTGCAGAAATTTCTATTGGATTATGCTGATACTACACCAACCCTTCAACTGCCATGAGAAAACAGAGGCACGGGATCTTGTCCAACAAGGGCCATAGAGCTCATCAGTGGTAGAATTGTGACATTAACCTCACTGCCAGCACCCTTCCTACTGTATTACTTCATCCTATCTTATACTCAGGGTTTGTTCAAATAGGAATTATTTCCCTTTTCACCTTTTATCATGGGTTCCAGCAAAGTAAGAAGAGAAATTCTAAATTTGCGGGTAAAAAAAATCTTTAAGACAAGGTTTATTAAAAAATAATGATTAAATCTATCTGCAATTTTTGCATAAATTCAAAAGTCATCTTGGACAGTTAAGAATACTGTGGTGTTAGGAGACACATCTTAGCTTGTTTTAACTATTGTAAGTCCTTTCTCTTTTATTGTCCTGATGGTTTTATTCTCTTTCTTGAATTTTGAAACCCTCAGACTAATGATACATAAGTGTGAAAGGTTATATCTTATTTAGCAAACATTTTAAAGATGAAAAGCTGAGAAACAAAGAGCAACCCAAAGAATGTCACTTGTCTGTCTAATTTTCGAATGTGGTTACTCAGACTACTGAGCACTCTTGGCTTTTAGTAATTCAGTGCTTTAGTATTTATACTAACATGTTTTCACTTTTAAACTATATTTTCCTTTGACCACTGTTATGTTTGAAAACAATTTAAAGTGTTTCAATTTTCAACATAATTTGAGGGACTAAAAGAAGCACTAAAACATCTCGAAAGGTTTAGATAATAAGGTCAACATATAATCAGCTTTAAAGAATATGGCAGTGTCTTAAAAATAAAACCAGTTGTTCCTGTCTAGTATGTTTAGAATGCAAATGTCTCCAAAGTCAGTCAACTTAAGTCATGACAGTTCACGTTTAAAGTACGCAGGAAAACAACCTGGAACTCCTTATTAACAAAAATGTTAAAAATACTATTATTACAGCTCTATTGATTCTTTTTTCACAAGCTGAATTCTAGTGAGTAGATTTAGAGGAAATATTTTATGTCAAACGTTACAGAAAGTTAGAAATTGGATGGTTAAAAAACATGACGCAACAACATAAGGCACTATGAACAAATACTTATTCAAGACAGATGTTACCATAATTTGCAAGGTACTTACAAGCATTCAGTATGGGGTTCCAGATAGAAGCTACTTGTTATTCAGAGAAGGAGGTGATGCAAAAAAAAAAAAAAGCACAGCTATTTTCCTTCTAAACACTCTTTGGTGTTGAGGTAAACAAACGAAAAATAAAATAACCGTCTAAGTACACAAGAGCAAAGCAATAGTTTCTAAGTTATAAAAGGAGGGAAAAAAAAATTGAGTCTAACCTTTTAAATACGAGACTGGGGCTTAAGGTGAAATTTATTTGCTGGCTTTTAAATCAGATGCATTATTTCTACATTATATCTGTTATGTCTTGACCCCCCACTTCACCATATTAGGGAGAAACAGGCACATCCAAGACTCTTAGGCCAATAAAACTACTTTTGGAGGCAGCACAGCTCACCAAATGAAGGAGAATGTTAAAGAAACACTCAGTAACAAGAGTTTCAACTGACCTATCTCAACCAGCCAGGGATAAGTACTGGTGTATGCTAGTGTAAGGAGAATTAAAAATATTGTAAACTCTAAACAAGTATTAAAATGGTCCATAAATTTCAAATCTCACAAAAGATAGTTACTTAAAAAAAAAAAAAAAAAGGAGTAAAAGCATTTGGAAGAGGGACCCCTGGAGGAAAGACTAGCTCCCAAGGAACACAGGTCAAATGGGTGGGGGCGGTAATCAGCTAATCATCCCTCTACCAGGTGATGCTTCAGTACCATCCCTAACAGTTTTAGACCTCCTTAGGAGAAGTGATTTAGGTAATCCGCAAATGTGTTTTGCGATACAAGAACCACGGAGATGACGCTGAAATTTCTAACTTCAAAAAGATGCACTCGTGAGAGAAAACAGGCATGAAATTCCCATATTGTAATTATTTAGCTTCCTGTAGAAAAAACACCTTCAGGCATGTAAGGCAGCACACTTGACACTGACCCAGCAAAGTTTTCGGCTGGCCCTCACTATCTCTCAACCCCCCCTTCCTCCACTTCCCTGCTGTTCTTTCCTGGCACACAAAATATAGGCCAATGAGCAGTGGGTGGGTGAGGAGGATGTGAGAGAAAATTTGAGAAGTAAAAAAAGGAGCAACTTAACCAGGACATGAATGAGAGACTGAAGGGTCTAACAGGGGTAGGCAGACAACAATTAGAACTACTGAAAAATGGGCTTTCCAGGGCAGTAGTGAGCGCTCAGTGCTTTTAGGGGTTTAAGCAGGGGTCAGACTACCTACCACTTGTCAGAGAGGCTGCAGAGGGGACGGCTGCTTTAGATGACCTCTAATGTCTCTTCCGACTCTGAAATGTTAGGATTCTTATTTCACAAAGGAGAATGCAATGGTCATAGAAGCCCACTGACTCTAAACCCTTTTAAAGACGCAGCCTTGGAGGCTGCTTCCCAAACACCACTCCCACCTCTCCCGCACGTGCCCACCCCGCCCCCTTTCAATATTTCCACCTCCACGTGCAAACCGCCTCGCGGCACTGGCCCCAAGGCGGACAGACACCTACCCCTGCAAAGCACCAAAACTATGCTCCCCCTCCCCGCGAAGAAGAGAGGACTACTCCACTCTCCCACCCTGGGTGGCTAAAAAAGGAAAAGTCTCGGATCCAGCCTTTCCCCCCTAGCCAGAGCAGGGGGCGGGGGCAGGACGCAGAGAAAAACTTTCTTCTCGAATTTTTCTTCCAGAGGGTGGAGGAGATGGAGAGAACCCCAACGAGTCCAGGGCTGACGGGGTGGGGGGAGGGGAACCCCTGAATCGTTTAACGGCTGGAAGGGGGAGGGGGGGCTCCGGAGATTGAGGGGGCGTGGGATGGAGAAGCAGGCCAGGGAGCAGGGTCAGGGAGCTGCGGGGTTCCTGGGGTCGGGGAGCTGCAGGCGTCCCCCCCACCTGGCACACAAAGCGGCTGCCGCGCTCGGCTCTCACCAGATCCTTTGTGTTTTCCATCAGGGCCTCATGGGTAGGGGTTGTCCGTGCTCCCCAAGCCCGCGGCGCCCCCTCCCCGGGCTGGGGGCAGGTGCCTCTCCCCGGGACTGCGGCGACTACAGGGGGCCCCCGGCTGGGCCCAGACCGGTGGCGGCTGCGGCAGCCCCCGGATTTCCCCCCTTTAACTCGGGTGGCCCCAGGATATCAACAACATTAGCATAGCCCTCCCTCCCCAGCGCGCCTGCGCCGTGACCCGCGCCCCGATTGGCCCACTTCCCTACATACCCTCCTCACTCGCTTCCAGCGTGGGACCCTCTGCAGGCTCCGTACTCCAAGGACCGTACCAAGACGAGAGGTGGAAAGCGCATTGGGGCTTGTGTTAAATCCACTGGTTAAACTCAACAGGAAAAGCAGAAGTTTCATTCAGCTGTCCGAGTGTATACTCGGGCTTTCTTGCGCTCCTTTCAATATGTTGCAGCTGCGAAGTTGTGTTGGAAAAATTTTCCACTCCAGTCACGCCGCTTCCCCCTACACCCGGAAGATTGGCCCTCCCGGAGGAACTCCCACACGGGGCGGGGCTGGGTAGGGGAGTGAGAGTTACGTAGAGGGAGGGAGTGCTGGTCACGTGGCAAGAGGCTGCGCAGGCTCCTTCCGGCCCCAGGGGCTTCGGCGGCGGCGGCCAGGGAGGTGCCTGGGCGCATGCGCAGCGAGGTTCCACGTGAGCGCCTGCGTTTCTCCTCAAACCTAACGATGCCGCCGGAACGGAGGAAACGAATGAAACTGGACCGGAGAACCGGAGCGAAGCCGAAACGGAAGCCCGGAACGAGGCCGGACTGGAAAGCCGGAGCAGGGCCAGGCCGGCCTCCCCAAAAGCCTGCCCCTTCATCCCAGCGGAAACCGCCGGCCCGGCCGAGCGCTGCGGCCGCTGCGATTGCAGTCGCGGCGGCGGAGGAGGAGAGACGGCTCCGGCAGCGGAACCGCCTGACGCTGGAGGAGGACAAACCGGCCGTGGAGCGGTGCTTGGAGGAGCTGGTCTTCGGCGACGTCGAGAACGACGAGGACGCTCTGCTGCGGCGTCTGCGGGGCCCGAGGGTGAGGGAGGCCGCGGCGCGCGGGCTGGGCGCGCTCGGGCGGGGCGCGCGGTGGGCGGTGAAGCTCTGGGGGGCGGAGCCTGGGCGACCTGCGGCGGCGGGGAGCGCTCAGGTGGGAGGGAGCCTGAGAACGCGGGCGCCGAGGGTCGCAGCTGCGGGTCCCTCGCCTCCCTGCTCCAGACTGAAAGTGTCTGGAGGGCGGGGACCGCGCCTTTCTCCGCCCCCGGAGGCGCCGCTGCTCGGGTATCTGCTTTGCGAACTGTGGTAGTGAGCATCTTTCGCCGCTGCTCGGCTCCGCTAGCCTCTCCCCAAACAATGTGGTCTTTTGATCACCTGCCTCAATTCCTTGTGATCTAGGAATTCCATTTCGTTGATGGAATCAATTCGTGGGCACGGGCCTGGGCATCTGCGTTGTAACTATCTCCCCATGTGACTGTGAGACCCACAGGGTTTTGAGAATGATCGTGAATTTCGTTCATTTAGCAAATATTGGTGAACCTGTTGGTTGCCAGATACCCTTTCTGGCAATGGCAAACCCTGCGTGATTCATCATACTTTTTGCACACATTTTGCTATCCATTTAACTCTATACCAGGCTTTTCTTGAGAGAGTCCCAGACATTGTTCTAGGCACTGGAGGAGACACAGCAATGGACAAAACTGACAAAAATCCCTGCCTCTTGGAGCTTGTATGCTAGTGGCAGAGACAAGATAGATGAGATAAACCAGTAAACTTCAGGTTTGTTGGTGACAAGTGCTGAAGAGAAAAAAGGACATACGGTAAAGGGAGATGAGCGTGCCTGTGAAATTTTAGATAGGGGGCAGGGGAAAGCGCACCGAAAATTACCCAGTCCATGTTTCTTACACAAATGCTGACCCATCTAATGTCAGCTGCTTACCAGAGCCTCCTTCGGGTGCTTGTGGGAGAAGTGGCAGTAATCTATTTGGGAAGTACAGAACTGCTACTGGAAACTGAACTTTGTGACAGTTTTGTCGTCTGGAAAAGGAAGAGTGTACTGAGGTGGGAGCTGTTGGGTTTGAAGTCTGTTTATTAGACTGGTAGTAGAGCAAGTAGAAACCACTTGGACATTTTTGTCCTGTGGTTTTGGGAAGCTCAAACTCACTTTAAGGGGTATTCTATGGTTTTAAATTTTTTTTTTTTTTTTTTTTTTTGAGACGGAGTCTCGCTCTGTCGCCCAGGCTGGAGTGCAGTGGCCGGATCTCAGCTCACTGCAAGCTCCGCTTCCCGGGTTTACGCCAGTCTCCTGCCTCAGCCTCCCGAGTAGCTGGGACTATAGGCGCCCGCCACCGCGCCCGGCTAGTTTTTTGTATTTTTTTAGTAGAGACGGGGTTTCACCGTGTTAGCCAGGATGGTCTCGATATCCTGACCTCGTGATCCACCTGTCTCGGCCTCCCAAAGTTGTTTTTTCTTTTTTTGAGACGGAGTCTCGCTCTGTCGCCCAGGCTGGAGTGCAGTGGCCGGATCTCAGCTCACTGCAAGCTCCGCTTCCCGGGTTTACGCCAGTCTCCTGCCTCAGCCTCCCGAGTAGCTGGGACTATAGGCGCCCGCCACCACGCCCGGCTAGTTTTTTGTATTTTTAGTAGAGACAGGGTTTCACCATGTTGGCCAGGCTGGTCTCAAACTCCTGACCTCATGATCTGCCCGCCTCGGCCTCCCAAAGTGCTGGGACTACAAGTGTGAGCCACTGCGCCTGGCCTAGATTTAGATTTCATAGTATAAACTTTATGGTATACATTTATAATATTATAATTTAGATTTGATGGTATAAATGTATTTATTATTTTCTTATTTAGAGATACAGTCTCACCCTGTTACCCAGATTGGAGTGCAGCGACACCTATTAGTCTTCCAGTTCCCTTTTGCTAATAGTAACTGGTTGCTCTTCCTATTGGTCACAGATAAGTTACACCTGCACAATTCTCCAAGCACTTTAAGCTCAGAAGGCAGCTTCATCCTCCTAGGCTCAGGTGATCCTCCTGTCTCTGCCTCCCAAGTAGCTAGCTGGGGCCACAGGTGCACACCACCACACCAAGCTAATTAAAAAAATTTTTTTGTAGAGACGAGGTCTCCCTATGTTGCCCAGGCTGGACTCGAACTCCTGGGTCCAAGCAGTCCTCCCACCTTGACCTCCGAAAGTGTTGGGATTACAGGCATGAGGCACTGCACTCTGCTGGTATAAAGTTTCTTAAGGAGGTAGGGGGTCAAAAACAGGTTAGGAAAATGGAGATATCTTTGACTCTAGTTTGCCTCCGGTCCTGTAATTTCTGTAGTTCTGACATTTCTCCTCGTTTCTTCTGCAGACTCACCTTTTGTTCTTGTCTTGCTTGGTGTTTTCCTTTCTGCGTGTTGAGTGTTGACTTTTTCTCCTCGGCTGTTCCATCTTGCCTCACCTGTCCAGCTGGTGGTGCCATTCTCTGGTTTCTCCATTTTCTGCCTCTGCCTCCAGCATTTGCAGTGGTAGCATTCTGTCCCATTATTTCATCGGCGAGTGGTAGAGAAAACATTCTGTGAGCCATTTGGGTATAAGGCCTATGTGTCTGCAGTCATGGAATAGGAAAATCTCAGTGCTTGAGGGTGTTTTGTCTGCTGTAGGTTCAAGGACATGAAGACTCGGGTGACTCAGAAGTGGAGAATGAAGCAAAAGGTAATTTTCCACCTCAAAAGAAGCCAGTTTGGGTGGATGAAGATGATGAAGATGAGGAAATGTAAGTTGCCTGACTTTTCTTCTGAATCCCTCTGGACATTTAAAAAAGTTATTTTGCAGATTTAAAAATCATTCTTTTTACCAATTTGTGATTAAGGGAAGATTTGAAAAACACTTGAAAATATAGAAAAGATCTTCCATGGTTCCTAATCCCACCACCGAGCGAGAACTGCTGTTAGCATGTTGTCATACTTCTGTCTCAGTCTCCTCTTTGCTGTATACAATAGCTAAGAGAATACAGTGTTTGAAGTCAGGTCTCAATTTGCCTCCTCATTTGGCCAGTTTCTAATTGACCATGGGCAGTTTGGAACCTACATTTTTTCCTTTGTGAAATGGGCACAGTGATAGTAACTACATCAGAAGTTTGTTGGGATTAAATGAAATAGTACATGTAGAACTTCTAGCACAGTGCCTGAAACTGAGTAAAGGCTAAAAAGAAGGTAGCTCACACCATAGGAACTGTCATAGATGAGAATGTACTGTACGCTTGATATAACATTTTGCTTTTTTCTACATAAAGTTTCTACATAAAGTTGTTTGTAAGCATTTCTCCCTACTTAAAAAAAAAATAGACATTTTAAAATGGCTCTGTTGTAGTCCATTATGTGAACTAACCATAATTTACATGGCTGTTGTTGGGTAGATTTTCTTTTTACCTTTTTTTAAAAAATTACTTTTTTTGAGACTTTTTTTGAGTCTTGCTGTTTCACCTAGGCTGGAGTGCAGTGATGCAATCTTTGCTTACTGCAACCTCTGCCTGCCAGATTCAAGTGATTCTCCTGCCTCAGCCTCCCGAGTAGCTGGGACTACAGGTGTGTGCCACCATGCCTGGCTAATTTTTGTATTTTTAGTAGAGACGGAGTTTTGCTGTGTTGGCCAGGCTGGTCTTGAGCTCCTGACCTCGGGTGTGCACCCGTCTCTGCCTCCCAAAGTGCTGGGATTACAGGCATGAACTGCTGTGCCCAGCCTTACTTTTCCCTTTAATGCAAATTATCTCAGCATTAATGTTTATCACCTCTTTATGAAGAAACCTTTCTTTATTTTCTAATTTGTTGCCTTGGGAAAGATTCTTTGAGGTAGAATTACTTGATCAAAGAGCACAGTTATTTTTAAGGCTGTTGTTAAGTACTGCCAGACTGCATGCTTTGAGGTTCTGCCAGTTTGCGTTCCCATTGAAAGGTGTCAGTTTCAGTTCATTCCTTTTTTTTTTTTTTCCGAGACAGAATCTTGCTCTGTTACCCAGGCTGGAGTGCAGTGGTGCGATCTCGGCTCACTGCAAGCTCCGTCTCCTGGGTTCATGCCATTCTCCTGCCTCGCCTCCCCAGTAGCTTGGACTACAGGTGCCCGCCACCACACCTGGCTAATTTTTTATATTTTTGGTAGAGACGGGGTTTCACCGTGTTAGCCAGGATGGTC